GGGGTTCAAATGTTAACCATGCCACTAAAATACCTCGTCCAAGCTCAATAAGCTATCGCCCACTTTTCCTTCCATTTCCGACGCGCTTACAGTCTGCCTATGTCAAAAAGTAGCAAAAATGGATAAAATAAATGGCATCCATTTAAATCTTATGACCCAGAATTTCAAACTATTTGAAGTTTTTTTTCTGCAAAATGTTTGAACATTCCACCCCTTTTTACAAACAGCCTAACATTAAGCGTATTCAATGTAGAACCAAAATAAATGCAGAACTTAAACGGTATCGTCTTTGCCTGACTGGAATCCGTTTACATATGGAAGATGGACCGTATACAGGGTGAAAAAATCGAAAAGTTTCGTTCTTGAAGCTCTATCGCATATTTATCGATAACTTTTTAAAATTGAGTGTTATCTGTTAACAAAATTTCTGAGTTTTGGTTGTTAAGCTCGCTCAGGCATTTTTCACTTTTATTTTAATGCAGAAGGTTTCTTTTGATGAGAGATAATTGGTTTTTGCATTAGGATTCATATTTTCAAAACGTTTTTTTTGGGTAAATCCTCTCAATGTTGCGTCGTTTGAAAACATCGTTTTTGAAAAAGTCTGTTTTTTTGGAAGACAAAGTGGTTGAAGCGAATTACGCAAACAAAAACGTTAGAAAATCAATTGTGTTAAAGCGGAATCAATAGTGGCAATTTTTTTGAAAATCCAAAAAATTCACTGTTCCAGCGCCACTGTGAACTGATGACAATTTTCTAAACTTTGGAGGATCTATTTTTTTCAAAACTAGCTTTCTTTGATTATTAATTTTCTAACTGCGGAAGGCGATTAGGAGTCGTACTTTTTGCGATTCACAGTTGAAATAGTGTTTTAAAAATCGTGAGATTGCTTTTCACTATTTTTGAGAGAATTTTTCAAAAAATTTTGTTCAATTGAATGTACATTACAGACTATTTTTGGCAATTAATTTTCTGGCTACGAAAAAAGATGGAAGTACACTTCTTTACTGAACTCACAGTCAAAATATTGCTTTACAGGATTAGGAAAGTCGACGATTAGGATTAGGATTAGCAATTTTTTTAGTTCCTGAACTGGGCTCTTTTATTGGTGCAATTTCTGCGCCACTTGTCCTTTCTCAAAAAATTGCACTTATGCCGACTATTCTTATAAATTAAGACGTAGTATCGTTTCTGTTAGGATCAGCATAATTTAACTATAAAATAAGCCTCAGCAGAAACGAGAATTCAGTCATTAAATGTTCGGTCAGAAGTCATAAGAATTCAGCTTAAAGATAGTCAGTGTACGGGTACGGTTAGGTTCGGTCACAGCTTGTTTGGTCTAGCTTGTTTGGAGTTAACTATTCAAATGTTTGGTGTTGTATGATTTATTTGTAAACACTAATTCGAGGTTATGAGAACAGTTCGACATTTTGAAAGTACGTTCCGCAGTCAACAAATCTTGTTGAATTTACCGTTTATGAATTTATTGTTTAACAGTTAATTTAGTTTACTATTTTTTCTGTACTCCTATAACAGCGCCGAGGAATAACGCCAATTTTCACCCTGTAAACATCGTTCAAGAAAATCAGAAGACCTTGTAGCAAACCAAACGATTGTTAAACGTTTATTCAAAGATAAATAAAAAGCAATTGTCTAACATTAACATGTTTCGACGTATTTGATCATATTACTAGACAATCTCGAGAACAATATCCGCACAATTAATAATCATAGTGTTCTCAAATATCGAGAACTTGAAAAGATTATTTTTAAATTAAACTCTGAAACCCTACTCCCTTTCGACAACAGTAAAATACTTCGAAGTTGCATACGTCGATGTGACGATTAAAACTGACCTAAATATATTTTATAATGTAATTGATTTCTTATTTCCTATTTATTAAAATAATACTTGTGGTTATACAAAATCATAAACATTTATTATTACAAACAATCAGCAATGAATTATGAAATGTAAATCAACAATACTTTCTCATACTCATACTTTTAATGAGACGTATGTACTTGATGAATTGACAGCAAATTATTAGTATTTGGTTTCAGTTTTGTAAGAAGTAATCCCAAATCTCCCCGTTCTGTGATGTTCTATCTGCTCCTTTTTCGTTAACAGGTTGGTACGTTAACCTTTCCTGGCTTTTTGTTCCTTTATTGAAGTTTTGGATAATTTCTAGTATAAAATTTTTACTACATAACTACCCACTACAGATACACTCAAATAGTAAAACAAATATAATATGATTGATACATTACAATATACAATAAAACCATGTATAACAAATAGGCAGATACTTACTTTTTTCGGCACTGCAAACACCGACATCGATTCACTCACAGTCACACTTTTATGTTCAAAATACCGGAAATAAATGAGTAACGTTTTCTGTGTTGAACGTTTTTTAGACTTGGCCAGTTAAGGCTTTTAGTCTTTAGTGCTGGTCAATGAGTGAGCCTGAGTGAGGAAGGGGATTATTTGTCTGAGATTAATGAGTGAACCAACAATGAAAATAGATCCACTGAAAAAGAAAAAAGTAAGTTTTGGGTAATTTGGAAGAAGCAGGTTCTGTGGTTTGGCCTTACTTATTTTTAATGCGTTTAAATTTAGTTTTTCTTTAAGCCGGGTTTTTGCTTAAGGTGTGTGTTTATGTTTTTGGGATTGTTGAGTAACGTTTTGTTCTTGGCATTTGTATTTATACTAGTGTAGATTGCAAGCACAGCGCAAGTCGAATTTCATCACTTTGCAGGTCTAAACAAGCATCCCTGACGAGCTGGCGCACGGGCGGCGCTTTGCAAGTCTCGACATGTGGTGTACACTTCTATTATTATCTAGTTCTGTTCAATTATGTGTTTGAACAGAGTCTCGCATATTTTTGAGTACCTACCTAGTGAATGATGCTACCTGCCTACGTTGATAGGTAAATCCAAACAAAAATGTTTGTTCATTATTAATCTCAGCTAATTTTTCATCGACCCCCCCTTACAACTTGTGAACCCCTGTTTTCTTTTCACGTCTACGTAGACCCCCGTGTGGTCTCCTATGTACCCCTTTGGGAACCTATGGTATATACCCTATTCCAATTAATGCACGAATAATGCCATTAAAAAACTTCTATTTATTAAAATCAATACATGAATCATTTAATCTGCAAGAAAGTAGTCACAAAACCGAAGACATATTCTTATGTCCAAAAAAAATTTTTCGCTCCAATGAACCCTGTTTGTTAGAAACAATCAGTTTAACAAATCATTGTCCAATGATCCCAATTAATTACGAAAAATCCTGTCACTCAATTAGGAGGTTATTCAATTTTGATCATTCCACCAAAACAAGAACATGTTCATTTCTAATGTCCAAATCAAAACGCATCCGAAATAATTCATCAACCATCTAGGATTTTCCCAGATGAATTGTACAGTTAAAATCAAAAATAAAATCTACGATTCTCAAAAACCAGATACATTCAGTTTATGTTTAAGCTTCCCCAGATTGCTTTAAATAAAAAATTGATAGAAAAAATTGAACCTTTACAAATAATAGAATTAAATTTTGAATACATTCGAGAAGACTTAGAAGATGTTCGAAAACTAAACCCTCTCACAAAGTTCAGTGTTGCTAATGGAAGTATTCCTTAATTTTAATTTCAATATTAATTGTAATAATCATTATATGTATTACAATATATTGTTATTACTATAGAAGGAAAAAGCAAGTAAAGTGGACATAAATTTGAAAACCCTCGAAAATAAATCCTTATTTTCTCAGACTTAAGCAGGACGAATTATATGGCCACTGACGCCGACTGTTGTTATAAATTAAGACGTAGTATCGTTTCTGCTAGAATCAGCCTAATTTAGCTATAAAAGAAGCATCAGCAGAAACGAGTATTCAGTCATTAGATGATTGGTCAGAAGTCATAAGAATTCAGCTTAAATATAGTCAGTCTACGGTTAGGTTCGGTCATATACCTACATTTAAAATCCATATTATAAAGTTGTATTAACTTTCAAATAAAAGTGATTGTAAAAACGCAAGTTTCAAATCAATCAATAAAATTCTACCGAAAACGTGGGTAAATAGGGCGACCCCGCAATAGACCGCAGATACTTTAAGTTCTATATCCTAAAATCGTCGTTTGTCATTAGCGAAGAATCTGGGCGCTTTAACTTATTGAAATATTTGTATACGATTTCCGTTGACAAAGAAATTCCTTATCGACAAAGAAATTTTATAAGGATTATGTCGAACATTCTCGCAACCAGACCTGAGCTTTTTGAAAAGTTTTGTGCACGAGGTTTCCTTTGACAATTAATTGTCTGATAGATCGAAGTTTACTCAATACTATAAATGGTTCGAAGTTTACTCAATACTCAATATAAAATAACTAATAAAAATGTTGCATCGGACCTGAAAGTCTATTTTTTTTACGGATAATTAGGAGTTTCTTGAGAATATTTGAAACATAAGCACATTTCTTCAGTAAACCATGTTGCGTGCTTAGATTTAGCAAATGAAACTTTGGAAAACTAAAGATATGGAGGGTGACGCAAATTTCCCAGTGATAGCAAACATATAGTTTTCCAATCTCGGATTGCCGGTGTATCAAATGTTTAAAATTGTGCTATATCAAAATCGATTCGTTTTTCACACATTATCAGGGATTTTTTGGAAACTTTTTGCTTTTTTGAACAATTTCTCTATGGATTGTGTCCGCAAGCTTTTCGTGGGGAATCAGATTTCTAACAATTCGAAGCTATGAGAAGTGCAAAATTTACGTGAATAATCAAAACTTAGTTGGTTTTTTGATCCAGAAAGTTTTGGTTTTCAACTATTATTAGCATGACAATGGCAAAATTGGGAATATTGTGCAAATTTGCGATTGACGGAAAACAATCCAGTTTATAATGCTTGAAAGTTTCATTTTTTAAGGCTTCATCAGGAATTTTTTTGAGAATTTTATGAGTTCGGGTACATTTTCTTCAAGAAATGTGCCTAGAATCGTTTCTTTTGCAAACTGAGTGCCTAACAACCAATAGGGATTGAAATTAGTCGGATTTTATGCAAATATTAAACAATTTTATACTAATTCGAGAAGTTTCAAGTGTAAAACTTTGGTCAGATTTATTTTTAAATAGGAACATTTGGTTCTTTTTCCTTGCTAAATTGGTTGGCAAATTTACTTTGAACCATTAATTGTAAGAAGATGGAATAATATTCCACACATTTGTAATTCAGAGTGACTATTCCAACTCATAATATTTAAAGTTTACATTTTTCAGGCTTTACCAGGAATTCTCACGCAATTTATTTAAGGATTGAGTATATAAATAAGCCTTCCGTGAAAGGGCCGAGAAATTTTGCAAAATTTTCGTAATTAGTCAAAATTCTGTTGATATTTTTATGTTGAAAGTTTCTATTTTAAAACTTTACCAGACGTTGTTTCCACCATTTTTCAAGTTTTGTCCACTTTGGAGACCTGCTGCTATAAAAGTTAGGTTATTATATAGTATTAAAAGCTGCTATAAAAGTTTTTCTTGAACACGCTCTACTGCCCAGCTGCGAGCAGCGATCTGGAATTCTCCAAACCAGTTTCAACTGGGCAATTTGTTTATTCGAAACAGTAACAATTGTCAACAGTGAAATCGCTCCTTGAAGGCAACCGGTAGAAAACTTGTCGATTAAAATCCATCTAATTGCGGTCAAACGGAAAGTAAATATTAATCTACGAAGAGAAAGACAAAATGGTAATCTCGCGTTCCGTTTGTTCGCCGCCTGCACCTCTTGACCACTCGGAACTGAATCGGCACAGTGAAAGGGACAAAAGTAAGTGGACTTGGGCGCTTTTTACCTTCTAATCAAGATCTAATTTCGTACTTTTACCGGCCATTTGCTAATTCAATCCCTCAGTGGGCGTCAGACTTCATTGCCAGGTCATTTCACTTTTCTCTTTGTTGGTTGCGAGGCGCAAAAAATTACAATCTCGAATGTTATTGAATCGTCGAGTAAGGTGGAATCGAAAGAAAACAAAGAACATCAACGAAACAAGTTTATTATTTAGTTTATAAATATGGGGAAATGGGGGCAACAACAGTGAGGAAGTATGTACAAAGGACTTCATTCGTTAACAACAACCACAACAACGTGGTGTTTTGCGCTCTTAAAACTACTTAACAACAATGACTACGATTAGAAAGTCCCTGACTCTACATTTTGCTCTGCGTGATTTCACCGTCCTTAACCTGAATGCTGGGCACAAACGTTTGCGCCCTCTGCCTCTTTTCCTGCTCCTGCTGCCTGTTCACAGCCTCCTGCCCCTCTAGGCTGAGCGGCTTTAAAGGCGATCCAAAGTGGGCGCTCAGCTGCTTCTTGATCTTCTCCTGCTGCTCAGGCGAGAAATGCTCCAATCCCGTGATGATCGCGGGAGCGGTTCGGCCGCCCGAATTCAGCCCCCCGCTACTAATAAAGTGCTGGGCAGCCTGCTGCGCCAGCTGGGAAAAGTCTGGACCAGCCCCATCCTGCTGCGGCGGCTCGTCCAGCTGCTGCAGCCTTTGCGGCTGGAAATCAATGGCCTGGGGATGCACTTGGCTCAGCTGGTTATTCTGGCTTTGGCTCAGTTGATGGGGCTGTTGGCTCACCAAGGCCTGGGGAGAGGGCAATGCCTCATGCGGGTAGAACTGCGAGGTTTGCGCTTGAGCAACTGGCGAATAGTCCGGCTCCTCCGCTTGAGGCTGCTGATAGTGACCGAATTGCTGAGGAGGCTGCTCGGACTGGTAGAAAGGCTGGTGGTTGGCTGGCACGTATTGATATCTGAAATGTTAGGTTCTTGGTAAATGAAAGCGAGTTGAAATCCTCGAAGGCATCAAAAGCCCATTCAATGAAGTTGTTTTAGATAAAAGCGGAGAACAACCGATCGAATTTTGTGCACATAACGAGCTGAGAAACAACAACATCAATACATTTTTGGAAGCACCAGAGGACAAAAATCACCCATAGATTATCACGAACACATTATCAGAAACCGAAAAAGAAATTCAGTGAAATATTTTTTCCTTTTCATTTCAAATAGTTTCGCCTAATCTTGATAATAAATGCATCATGGAATACAAATGTTTATTGAATTTCGTTACCAAAAGGAGTTTTTCCTTCTGGTTATTCGATTATATATTTTTTAATCCAGAGCGAATGAATGGAGATGGAAAAAATGAGAAATTAACTGCTTACTCAAAAACTATTAGAGATGGCAACAGGAGAGTGTGAAAGAAAAGGCTTGAAAAGTAATTGCGACTCCAAAAATTAAATACAGGGTGTCCCATTTGAAGTGTCCTTGTATCAGTAGTCAAATTTTCGGAACAATTTCAACCACGTTTTTCGTCTACGTCTTCTAAATTAAAATTAAAAAATTAGGCTTTTGACTGGAGTTTTGCCAACGAAAAATCTTTAAGGAGGCATTGAATTCAGCTGGTTTGTCGTTCATGAAAACGAAAATACCGATGATTTTTCTTTAAGTGAAGTTGTTCACAATTTCTGGGTTTTTAGAGACAGATTTGGATATAAAATTCATGATGTCAGAATTGCTGATAAGGCCGCTCGCTCGCATTAGTAGAAAAGCTGATGGTTGTCTAGCATCTATAATTTAGAATTTGACGTTTTTGATGAATGAAAGCGCAATTAAATTGCATTTCCTCTCCATATGCAATCGGCTGTAACCGCACGACTTGTTTTGCGTTATTAATTATGCCTCGCCGGCAGCAACAAGAGCATGGCCTGCGACTAACAGTGCGGAAAAAGTGCGAATATTTACCTGTATTCTTTCTCTATTTTCAACTGCAACTATATAACAAAAACTCTATTTGCCACCGAGTGCTTCCACCTTCCACACCAGTTTAATGGGTTCTTAATAAACGATTTGTTTAGTTTTGAAATTTTTATTTTTAATTGAATTCAAGTTTTAATTGAACGATTTGTATCAAGAACGGCAGTATTAAAAACTTACAGTAATCAATCAATCAATCAACCATGAATGGATGAGTGCACGTAAGAGTGAAGCAATTAATGAATGAATGAATCGAACTCAGCCATATTGAACTTAACTACACATTTTATACATGATTTTATTAGGCTGGTTTTCAATAAAACTTTCAACAATTTTTGCATACGTTTTGTTTGGGCTCGACTTCAAGAAACATTTTATTATATTTTGGATTTCGTTGCTTAACGTAGAAACTTTCCGTCAAAATAATTGAAAATTACACGATTTATAGCATACAAGCAGTATTATTTGTAAATTGCAAAAAGTAGTTAAAGTTTGCAAAAGTATAGATTTTACATGAGTTTTAATTGAAAAACTCCTTAAAACAAGTTGCATTCAGCTGGACTAACAGTTAGAAAACCGGAGAAAAACCTATTGCAAAAAATCTGTTCTTGGAAAAATAACCTAAACCAAAAACCCGAAATAATGCGAAAAAATTGTTAACGATAAACGGCTTTTTATCTGCTTTGAATTGCAGCTTTTTAGCATAAAGTCCATTTTCACACATAATTTTCAACAATCGAATGAACAATCACCGAGCTGGGCAGTGCGCCTCAACGCCGATTTTTTCAGTTACGTATATGGCGACTCGACTGACCGTTGATAAACACGAGATTTTAAAAAATTCGTCAAGGGAAAACCAAAAACTCCTGAATGCGGCCCATAACATCAATCGAAAGACAAACTCGGCTACTTTAAGTGAGGAAAACGCAATTAGGATATTTATGAGAGTTTCCGGGATGTTTTCAGTTACTAAGGGGAAACGACTGACCGTTGGAATAGATAGACGAGTTTCAACAAATTGTCAAGGAAAAACCAAAAATTTCTCAAGCCCGCCCAGAATATCACTTGAAAGAGAAAATCTGCGGCTTTAAATAAGGAAAACCTCACTTGAACAGGAAATTTCTGGGAGTTTTCAGAACTTTCTCAGATCCTGAAAGGAGCGGTTGGTCGTTGGACAACACGGATTTTTCAAAAGTTAGTCCAGGAAAAACTGAAAATTCTCCAATGCGGCCCATAACATAACTCGAAAGAGAAAATCGGGTGCTTTGAGTGAAGAAAATATCACTTGATTCGGAAATTTCTGGGAGTTTTCAGTTACTAAGGGAGAAGCAGGCCGTTGGTGTAGATAGACAGATTTTTTTTTAATTGTTCAGAAAAACCAAAAATTTCTCAAGCTTGCTCCGAATATCACTCTCGAGAGAAAATGTACGGGTTTTAAATTAGGAAAACCTGACTTTAATATGAAATTTGTGGGAGTTTTCAGGAATCTTTCAAATATTAAGTCGAAGCGATTGGTCGTTGGACAACACCGATTTTTCAAAAATTCGCTAAGAAAAAAACAAAAATTGTTCAAGCTTCCCCAGATCATCACTCGAAAGAGAAAATCTGTGGTTTTAAATGGGAAAAAACTCACTTTAACAGGAAATTTTTGGAAGTTTTCGGAATTTTTACAGATACTAAGTCGAAGCGATTAGTCGTGGTACAGTTCGGATTTTTTTAAAAGTCCACAAGGAAAAAACAGAAATTCCTAAATGCGGCCAACAATGTCGCTTAAAATAAAAATTGGCTGCTTTAAGAGAGGAAGAACTCACTTGAATAGAAAATTTTCTGGGAGTTTTCAGAATTTTCTGAGATTCTCAAAGAAGCGTTTGGTCGTTGGACGACGTGGATTTTTCAAGAATGGGCCAAAGAAAAACCGAAGTTTCGAAAAATTGGGTGCTTTAGGTGAGGAAAATATCACTTGATTCGGAAATTTCTGGGAGTTTCCAGGATGTTTTCAGTTACTAAAGGGGAGCAGGTCGTTGGTCTAGATAGACGAAAAATAAATAAAAAACATTGTCAAGAAAACCAACAATTTCTCAAGATTGGCCCAACTATCACTCGAAAGAGAAAATCCGTGGTTTTAAATGGGGAAAACCCAGCTTTAACAGGAAATTTCTGGGAGTTTTCCGAATTTCTACAGATTCTAAATCGAAGCGATTGGTCGTTGAATAACACAGATTTTTCAAAAATTCTCCAAGGAGAAACCAAAAATTCCTGAGTGCCATCTCTCGTTAGAGAAAATCGGCTGCTTTAAGTGAGGAAAAACTCACTTGATTAAAAAATTTCTAGGAGTTTCAAGGATGTTTTCAGTTACTAACAGGAAGCGATTGGCCACTGGTGTTGATAGACGGGTTTGAAAAAAATTGCCAGGAAAAAAACAAAAATTTATCAGGCTTGCCCAGAATATCACTCGAAAGAGAAAATCTTCGGCTTTAAATCACTAAAACCTTATTTTAACAGGGAAGTTTTGGGAGTTTTCCGAATTTTTTCAGATCCTACAACAACGCGATTTTTCGTTGCACAACACAGATTTTTCAGGGAGTTTTAAGGATGTCTTCAGTTTCTAAGGGGAAGCGATTGGCCGTTGGTATAGATACCAAAACCAAAAATATCTAAAACCAGGGCAGAATATCACCCAAAAGTGAAAATCTGCGACTTTAAATGAGGAAAAACGAACTTTAATAGAAAATTTCTGTGAGTTTCCTGGATTTTTTCGGATACTGAATTGAAGCGATTGGTAGTTAGACAACACGGATTTTTCAAAAATGTGCTCAAGAAAATCCAAAAATTTGTGAATTCGGTCCATAACATCACTCGAAAGATAAATTCTGCGGCTTTAAATGAGAAAAACCTTACTTTAACAGGAAATTTCTGAGAGTTTTCCGCATTACAATCTGAGAAAATCGCCAAAACTCCCAAAAATTTCCTGTTAAAGACAGGTTTAAAGGCGCAGACTTTCTCTTTCGAGTTCGGTTGGTCGAAGGTATGAAAATTCGGTTGGTCGAAGCGATGGTTCAATGACCGAACAACACGGATTTTTCAAAAATTCGCCAAGGAAAAACTTAAGATTCCTGAATGCTTCCCATAACATCACTCGGAAGAGAAAATCGGCTGCTTCACGTGAGGAAAATGCCATTAGGAAATGTTTTTGAAGTTTCCAGGATTTTTTCAGTTACTAACGAGAAACGATTGGCTGCTGGTGTAAATAGACGGATATAAAAAAAATTGTCAAGGAAAAACGAAAAATCTCTAAACCCTGGCCAGAATATCACCCAAAAGAGAAAAGCTGCGGTCTTAAATGAGGTTAACCGAATTTTAATAGGAAATTTCTTGGAGTTTCCATGATTTTTTCGGTTACTTAATCGAGGCGATTGGTCGGTGGGCAACGTCGATGTATCCCAATCCGGTCCATGATATAACCGTAAAGCGAAAATTCGGTGCTTCAAGTAAGGAAAAAGTCACTTTAATGGGAAATTTCTGGGAATTTCCAGAATTTCTTCAATTACGAAGAGCGAGGTTAATCTCTTAATCTTTTTCTTTTGACTTTTTTCACTCTTCTAATTACCGGTGTCCTCACTAACAAGCTAATCCATGGAAAATATGATCGTTAACTTTCCAAACCAACTTTAACCCATAACTGAGCGCACTAAAAAATCGCGTTCTACAGGGTGTTCCGGAAATATGTTAAAATATTTTAACAGCGTGTTGTCCAAGTCATTTTAGACGGGAGACTTCCTGAGAATTTTTTTAATTTGAGGTCTCATTTTTGAGATATTTGATCTACAAAATGGCAAAAAATTTTAGTTTTTGTTGTTTCTCTTTAAAACGGTTAAACATGGAAACTTCAATTTTGGTATACATTATAAGCTAATTGAGGGCCATTCTATGGTAGACTTTTATAGTTCAGTTTACTTTTATACAGGGTAGAAATGTGGAACCTATACTTTTGTTTTGTTCAGAACTTTTATGTGTGCACTTAAACTTTTATCAACATAATTGTTTCAATTACTACTAGTTATTTATCAACTTTTTTATCTTTTATTGCTTTTTCTTATGGGCACTAGTTTGCCAGCAAAAAAATTAAATCGTTTCGGCTTGATCAAAACTTTCTAAGCCGTAGGCTTGGGAGAGGTCAAGAAGCTCCTATAAACTCGCCTCCTAGATTCCTCGCCTCCTCGCCTCGCGATCTAAACCCGCTTAATTTTTACTTCTGGTGCCATTTAAAAAATACGGTGTATTCAACAGAAGTGAATACAATCGAAGAACTTCAAGAAAGAATATTTAATATTTCTAACGAAATAAGAACTTCACTGCAAACTTTACGGTCTGTAAATTTTAATAAAAGTTTTTTTTAATAAAGTTATTTTAATAAGTTAATATACTGAGATTATGCCGAGAATGTCAAGGTGACCAATTTGAACAGCTGCTAAGTTAACATTATAATGGTTATTTAAATTTAATTTTGTGTGTTTATATCGTTGCGCATTTTGTTACCATGTTATTATTTAAGTAAAATTTATTTAAACTTAATAATTGTAATCTGAACCAAAATACACAGTTTGGAAAAATAATTTAGGTTGTTAGTAATCAACTAATGATGCGTACCAAAATTATTATATGAAACCGTTATTAGATTGTAAAAAATGATCATAATTACTTACACATTTTGAGAACGGCAAAGAAAAAAAAAATTCGGGCAAACTAGTGGTCTTAGGAAAAAACAATAAGATATAAAAAAGTTGGTAAATAACTTGTAGTTATTAAAAGATTATGTCGAGAAAAGTTCAAGTGCACACAAAAAAGTTCTGAACGAAACAAAAGTAGGGTTTCCACATTTCTTCCCTGTATAAAAGCAAACTGAACCACGAAACACTATCATAAAATGGTACTCAATTAGCTTATAATGTATACCAAAATTTAAGTTTCTATTGTACAAAAACAACAAAACTAATATTTTCCGCCATTTTGGAAATCAAATAACTCAACAACGAAACCTCAAATTAAAAAAATGCTCAGGAAGACCCCTTCTTGGAAATGACTAGAAGAATAAGCTGTTAAAATATTTGCGGAACACCCTGTATATCCACACTCGCTCGGACTGACTCGCTCGCATCGCATATCCTGATCTACAACTGAAACAGGGTTGCAATCGGCTTATTTCTTATAAAACTTTTCTAAAAACTTTAAACTGTTCCATTTTTGCTTACGTTCCTTATCGAAGACTGAACATTGCCTGGTATGTCGTGGCAGAAGACTGTTTTAGCACAATAAAATCAAAGCTTGTTAAAATTTGTAAAATGTTAGTGCTATCGGTTAGAGCTGCTGTTGGTACGTTAAACTTAATTTTTCAGAAAGTTTTAAATTAAAAGCTTAAAATTGTTACTCGCTTAGGAGATAAATGTTTCATAGACATACTTACAATGATTTATGCAAAAGTTGATTTATACTGTTTATTGCATATTTGTCAATGCATTTTAGAAAGACTATCTATGAAAACATCCGAGCTGAAATTGCAACGAACTAGACCAAACCAAACCAGAACCAAATACTTGAAAGTGCGCCAAAATTCCAAGCACAATGACGCCAACGAACCATACCATCTTTCACTTGCTTGTCTCATTATTATTAGCTTTAATTATATAAGAAGTCATGTATGGTTTAATCCGCATCAAATGAGCTTCCGGCTGGCAATAATAATTATGCCCGAACCGAAAACGAATTAAAATTGGTAAGTCATGATTTGGAGAACGGGTGTTTTTTTCTTCATTTTCATGTTGGGCGCTTTCTATATTAATTGCCGCCATTATCCGAGCTAGAAGCTGATCGCGAACGAAATGACTTTCATTTTCATTGCGCCTTGTAGTAGAACCAAAAAGTACTCACTTCAGCTGACTGTTGCCCCCTTGAAAATACTGCAGCAGTTGCTGAGCCACATTTCCCTGCTGCAGCATGCTTGCTGGAATGTAGGCAGGCTGCGCGATTATCACCATAGCGATGGGGGTTTGTTGCTGCCCCATTCCAAAAGGCTTCCGCAGCTGCTGGAAGGGCCCCCCATCCGGCTGATGGTTGTAAGGCACGGCCTGCTGCAGTTGCTGGGGCCTGGCCTGGTAGCGCTGCTGGAACAGGGCCGGCTCAGGCTGATACTTGCCGAAGAACAGGTCCGGCTTGGCGGTAGACCCGATGGAATTGGCCGTATTATATGAGTGCTTCGGATGGTCGGATTTCAGCTGCTCCTCGCCGACGGCCAGACCGATGTAGGTAATCGACAGGACAAACTTTTGAGGAACAAGAAGAGCGTGTTACTGTCGGAAACTGGGGAGAAGTTGGAAAATTGGCAATGTTGTGTGGAAGGAGTGAATACCACTGAACGGATTAGAAGCAACTTAATTAAAGTGTTAACTCGTCTTCTCCATATTTACTTCTATTTGGTAGTAAAATTGCCCAGCTAAAAAACATAGTCTGATGGACTGTTCCCGTAGATAATTTGACCTATTTAGAGTATACACAAGATGGTCAGCTTTATGTTTGGCATTATTATAAATTTATAGATAGCACCATTCAGGTTACAGACAATGTACGTCTTGTACATTGTTCATGTTTGGATTTTTGTCGCGTCAGGAACAAACTAATTTGTACGATCATCTCAAAGTCTGAAAAAATCACTCAATTTCAGTTTATTTTTTTTAAATTGGCCTTTTTAAATATGCAGATTACTCGTATATGCTTTTAACAACCATTTGTTTTGAATAAACGAGAATTTTCAAGTTATGAAGTGGTCGTCGATCTATTATCGAATGATTTTAAATGGACGCCCGAATAACCAGCAGTTAATAGCATGGGTAGAAGTAATTTTGTCTTGCGACATTGAAGTAGAAAAATTAACGGCCGATGCAACAACGGCCCTCTGGGATGCTCATAGTAGGCGCAAATTGTTAAACTGATGACCGACAGGCCTATAAGCCAGATTTCGCCGGCTATAAGCAGTGGAAACTTTTACATTGCTTTCACTATATATCAACCTTTCTAGCTCATGGCTGAGTTTTTCATTTTTCTGAATAGGGCAAGGAAATTGAGAAATTTGAAGAGTTTTGCTCTGAAATTCCTTCTAGAAAACTAGCAAATGACCCTGCTAAGCTCGGTTCAATGTCTAATAATCAAAGATTCAGGCCTGATTAAGCCAAAGGAAGTGGCATTATAATCAATGCAGAAAGAAGAAATTGAAGTGAACACGGACAGCCACCAAGAAGCTCCAAATGTTGGAGAAACATCAGGAGCAAAAATTTTGAAAAATGCACTTGAATACAGATTTGTTGCAGATTTTGGAACGGAATGGTATCGTGGGTCGCCTACAAAACACTTGCTTTGAATGCCTATTACTTAAAATTGATGAGTTTTTGGAAAACGCGACAATTAAATAATGTCTTCCTGACGTTCAGCGCTCATGAGTACCTTGTATCTTCAGACGTGGTTTGCTGGACGCACCTACCAGCTCTGGAGAAGCTACTCATGCTTGAGAAACGTCAGGAAAAAGTTAATTTCCATGAAGATCTAGAAGCCCAAAAAACTAATCAGTTCCAAGCAATCAAGGGCGAGTTCAGAGCGGAGCAGGATATTGCGCTGTTATTATCATTAGATGGTAAGATGGTGGCATCAGATCCTTCAGTATGAGTAAATTAGTAAATCTCTTAATACCGCCCCGATTTGGTCTAAAAACTTGGTCTAAAGCCGGTGATTTTGTCTAAACATCGTATTTTGCAAACTTGACATCAGTTGAAAAACTTGGAAATTATAAGAGTTGATATAAGACAAACGTTATCAATGTTTTCTTTGTGGATTTAAGGTCGCATTTTTCTTGGATAAACAGCTTTTTCTATGTAGAAATGTTTTGCGTAACTGTTAACATCGGAGCGATTTGTAAATTTTAAACCTTGTAAAGAACGATCGATTTTGTCTAAAAACTGCATCTTGCAAAATTGCCACTGATTCAAAACCTTGGAACTTATGATGATTTTAAGGTCGGAAAGAAGATTTCCCCAATAAAATTCTTCGAATTTTCTACCTCGATTACCTCATTTTCAAAATGGAACATCGGATTGTTTGCAAAGTGTATTTGCGACAGATTCACTGTCTATAAAAAAAATTGTATTTCCAACAGTTTGCAAGGAAATGGACTCTGAATATTGGCAACCGTCAAACTCTCAAACTTGCACCAACTTCCTCTCTTTACCCTGTAACTCGGTCAGTTATCAACGTTCTTCAGAAAATTCAAAAACTATTTAAAAGCCCATAAACCTGGCATAAAAACCTGTATCAGGACCAAAATTCATTTTAGTCACCGTGTCAGCGCCTGGAGAGTTTAAATTTTCAAACATCTGAAGCGCTGGCTGTTCCTGGAAACACGCTCTTTTGCTACAAGTTTGGCGGCGCACCATGATTTTTTAATCCTAAAATGTATTTTTATGAGCATCTCACTGCTTTTTTTTAAAAATTGGCAATAGATTTTTTTTTTTTTTAAATGTTGCAAATTTTCGAATTTTTTGACAATCGCAAATGTGCAAATTTTTCACTTAAGAGTCGAATTTGGACCACAATTTCACTTTCAATTGACACGGTTTTCGTATATAGTTTCGGTGAAAATGGAATTTATAGTTAGAGAGACTTAAACTCCCACCCACATTGTTTGCACACTGATTAGCCCATAACTCCGCAACTGTTGAAAATACTTCAAAACGCAAAAATTCCCTGACTTCCCTCGGCAATCACTAGAATTCGGCTATCTTGAACAAATCAAGATTGGCAACGGTTTGGGAGATAATGAACCCTGAATGTCGACTGTTTCATTTGTGCGTACCTCCACTCTTTTGCTCGTAACTTCATTCAGGGGCAAGATATTGCAAAAGTGCCAAAACCCACAAAAACCCCAAAGAAATAGCTATAAAAACTAGTCCAAGTGCAAATTGGATACCGGCAACAACAAGGGAGGTAAATGAGTTAGAACTTAGGGAGTGTGCAACCCTTTGAAAATCACTGTCAATCAAAAAATCAGAAACCAAAGTCATCAAAAAATTCAGCGTTTCTTTCATGGAATCAAAGAACCTCTGAATCTTCAATGCCTTTGGCGTAAAAGAAAAGCAAGTTTTTTTAAACTGCTGTCGCTTTGTCGCCTTTTAGGCAGTTAAAAAAACCTGGCCTCTGCTTTAAACTGATCCGAATCCAACACAACTACCCTTTCGCGAATATTCCTCTAGGGAAAATTGGCCAGTTTGAACACTTACACTCAATGGCACGAACCCTTTCATGTTGCGGTCAGCAGGTTCGATTTCACCACAATCTAATCACTATCACTGCAGAAGACTGAGTGCAGCCGAGCCGAAAGCCCCTCCTCTATTTATAGCGATGCACGTTTTTTCGCGTTCGAAAGGTGATTTTTCGCTCGTGGATGGAAGCACGCTCCGCATCGAGGTACCAACGTGGTACTTTCGTTCGATGGTTCCGGCCTTGACATAGGTCAGCGCCTGTTATTTAATTAATCGTTTTGGCAGCAACCAAAGTTTAGGTCACTAGCAAACAGTCGTGCTCGGTCTGGCTCATTTTTTAATACTTCGATTGTTGCTCACTTTCCACCCCAATGATACCACAGTACGAGATCGGGAAGATTTGTATTTTAATGAATTCTAAAGACGTTTAAATCCTGCGGTTGGTACATTATCACCGACCGGAGCAAACATCGAACCAATTTATTCAGTCATATCGATTTGCGGCTTTTCATTATTCAAATAATTAAATGCGCTTCATTTGCATGGCTTTCTCTAGAGGCGCCTTTTCTCAGCTCAGGCCTGAGATGAAACTGGGCCAGTTTTCCTCGTTCTTAGGCCTGAAAGTGCGAGTGTAGAGTAGGAAAACCAGGCCGGAAAACTGCTGCAGGTCTTTGACACTGAACGTTACAGTGCAAAAGTCCGATATGAATCTGCCGAGAAATTGCCATAAAGTGCAGGCTGGCATGCAAAAGCGGCATTAGCGGATTGGGTCAATGACTGGCATGAGGATGACAAAAACGATTATGTTAATCTTCAGGTTAATTGGCCCATCTCGATGATGGCCATCAAGCATCTTCAGTTGGCATTGGAGCATGTTTCAACAGCATGTAAACTCGAAGAAAGTCCTAATTTCGGATTGAAGAGCTCGTTACTTTCAATTGTGAAATCGGAGAAAAGTTGGAATTTTTAAACAAAGCACGTTGAAGCCGATCAGGTAGCTCAGGTTCCGTTCATCGGCGCTTTAGGGACGGACTAACTTCTTAAGCAAGTTGGTTATTTACCAAACAGCTACCAATGTGAAAATATCCCAAAAGATTTGCACTGTAAGCCTAGATAATGGTGTTTCTGTCGGTGTTTTGACGAAACATCAAAGGACTTTGCCGCGGCTCAGGCTCGGCTCGGGATCGGCTCAGCCTCGGCCATTACGGTAGTACTATTGTTGGACTGTGTGTCCGAAATAAAAGAGGCGATCGCCTTGTTGAGTTCTGCCAACAGAATAATCTTCTGGTGGCAAACTATTTCTTCCAGTTATCGAAAAGACGCTTGTTTACATGAAAATCGCCAGCTGAACAGACAAAACGTGGTCAGAAACCAAATCGATTTTATTTTAATAAAACACAAATTCCAGAACGCCGCTCAATCAGTGAAAGTTAGATTTAAGCTACAACCGAAAAAGATGCAATCTTCCAACCAAAATGATAAGCCAAATATAGATAAACTTAACTCAGGAGAATTAGAGAAAAACTGCAACAACAGATCAATGTACATGTAAGAAGGAAAACCACCAAACTGCAACTAAGTGAAGAAGACGCAGAACAACGGTGGCGGTTTCTCAAAACTCCAATCAAGGAACCTTGTAAAGAAGACCTTAAAACCAGAGACAAGAAATAATCCCTTGTTTCTGCAACGTTTTTGTTAGCAAACGAAAAACGAAACCTCCAGGCAAATAACAACGTTAGTTACAAACAACTACAAAGTCGAATAAGAATAAAAGTAAGGGCAGGAAAAGAAGCATATTTTTCTGAAAGATGTTCTGAGATAGAAGAGTTAGAAAGTAAATACGAAAATTTTAATTTACAGAAAAATGTCCAGAAATTAGCACGAGTTGCAAGAAGGCAGAAATCAAACATAGTTTAAGACAAAGCGGAAAACATCATAAAGGAGACAAAACAAAAACTAAAACTTTGAAGATCAATGGGAACACTTAAAGTGTGTTTTGCGCTGCGAATGCAAGAAAAACGTTTAAATTGGTTCACTGTTCTCTTTTTACCTCCAATCAGTGTCGTGCTCGAAGGGCTCAGTACAACTCGGACATCTGACACAGTTCAATGTATTTTTGTGCCGAGCTTTTTTTGCACGACCCTAATTGAGTGGAAAAATCTGATCGCGATATTTTGCACTGATTGCAGCACAAAAAATCCTCTAAACTTGCTCAATGTTTCTTTTTCCCACCCAATCAGTGCGGTGCGGGAAAGGCAAAATACATTTAACTGTGTGGATGTTCAAGTTGTGCTCAATTTTCACTTTTTCCTCCCAATTCGGGAGCGACACTGATTGGATGGGAAAAAGGAAGACTGAGCAAATTTAGAGAGTTTCTTGCGCCGCGAATGCACTAAACATGCTCAGTGTTCACTTTTTTCCACCCAATCAGCGTCGTGCCGAAAGGACTCGGCAACAAATATATTAAACTGTGTTGGATGTCCGAGTTGTACTGAGCCCTTTGGGCACGACACTGATTGGTGGTAAAAAGGGAACAGTGGACAATTTAAAGGTTTTCTTGCATTCGCAGCTCAAAAAAATAAACTTGCTCAATGTTCGCGTTTTCCACAAAATCAGCGTCGTTCCCGAAAGAGCAACCAAAGGTGCAACTCGCATATCCGACACAGTTTAGTGTATTTGTTGCGCCGATCCCTTTGGGCACGACACTTATTGGGTGGACAAAGTGAACATTGAGCAAGTTTAGCATGTTTTTTGCGCTGCAAATGCAAGGAAACCTCTAAATTCGTTCATTATGCACTTTTTTCACCTCCCAACAACTTGGACATCTAACACAGTCAAATGGATTTTGCCTTTTCGGCACGGCACTAATTGGGTGGAAAAAGGGAACACTGAGCAATTTTAGAGTGTCTGTTGCGCTGCGAATGCACGAAACTTGCTCAGTGTCCACTTTTTCCGCCCAATCAGTGACGTGCCCAAAGAGCTCGGCACAGCAAATACCTTGAACTGTGTTGGATGTCCGAGTTGTAGTGAGCCATTCGGGCACGACACTGATTGGGTGAAAAAAGTGAACACTGTGCAAGTTTAGCATGTTTTTTGCGCTGCAAATGCAAGGAAACCTCTAAATTCGTTCATCATGCACTTTTTTCACCTCCAGACAACTTGGACATCTAACACAGTAAAATGGATTTTGCCTTTCCGGTACGGCACTGATTGGGTGGAAAAAGGGAACATTGAGTAAGTTTAGAGTGTCTGTTGCGCTGCGTATGCACTAAACTTGCTCAGTGTTCACTTTTTCCCACCCAATCAGTGTCATGTCCAAAGGGATCGGCACAACAAATACATTGAACTGTATTGGATGTCCGCGTTGTACCTTTGCTTGCTCCTTCTGGCACGACACTGATTTTGTGGAAAACGGGAACATTGAGCACGTTTAGAATGTTGTTTGAGCTGCGAATGTAAAGAAACCTCTAAACTTGTCCATTGTTCACATTTTTCACCTCGGTACAACTTGGACCTCCAACACAGTCAAATGTATTTTTCCTTTCCGGTACGGTACTGATTCGGTGAAAAAAGGTAACATTGCGCATGTTTAAAGCGTTTCTTGCGCTGCGAATGCACTAAACTTGCTTCACTTTTTCCACCCAATCAATGTCGTGTCCAAACGGCTCGACCCAACAAATATTTCGAACTTTGTTGAATGTTCGAGTTGTACCTTCGGTTGCTCCTTCGGGTACGACACTGATTTTGTGAAAAACGCGAACATTGAACACGTTTAAAGTGTTTGTTGAGCTGCAAATTCAAAAAAACTTCTAAATGTGTCCATTGTTCACCTTTTCCACCTCGGAGCGACTTGGACATCCGACGCAGTCAAATGTATTTTGCCTTTCCCGCACGTGTCGTGTCCAAAGGCCTCTACACAACAAATGTTTTGAACTGTGTTGGATGTCCGAGTTGTGCTGAGGTCACCGGGCACAACACTAATTGGATGCAAAAAAGCGAACAGCTGACAAATTTAAAGGTTTTCTTGCATTGGCAGCTCAAAAACACTCTAAACTTGCTCAATGTTTACTTTTTCCACAAAAGAAATATCGTGCGCGAAGGGCTACGTACAACTCGGACATCCAACACAGTTCAATGTATTTATTGTGCCGATCCGTTTGGGCACGACACTGATTGAGTGGAAAACGCTGAGCAAGTTTAGAGTGTTTTTTGGGCTGCAAATGCAAGAAAACCTCTAAATTTGACCGTTTTTCACTGTTTACACCTCTGGACAACTTCCACATCCAACACAGTCATGTAAGTTTTCCTGACCATATTTCTAATTTCGACATATACGATGTTCCTGGGTTTCAGTAATTTATTCCGATTATTATAATTGAAACGTCATTAAATAAAAACGTTTCGGTTTTTTTTTCACCATCATCAGTTTGTTCGTCTACACGGTTGTTGCTAAGCGAGTTTTGAGTTCCAAAACTTGCGTAACAACTGGAATGACTGAAACCCAGGAACATTCTTATACGGTCCAAAATATTTATTTTTTTTCTTTAAAAAAAATTATAAGTCATAGTGGACTCTAACCGACATCGTATGTACCCAATATGTACTCAAGCCACTACCGGGGATTTAATCGAAATATGGTTGAAAGTAAAGGTGGAAGAAGGAAAGAACTTTCCTTAAAAGAGCACGTGACACCTTTACTACTAAACTTTTTTATAACACTAACGCTAAAGGAGATACCTTATAAAAATGTGGAATAAGCATGGGTAACACCGTTTTGAGTTGAGTTGCGCCATTGAGTTAATGTCGCTCTGTGAGTTAGTGAGTTACAAATCATGGCATTTAACCCAGGGCCGAATTAAAACTTTGCGAGGTCCGGGGCTAGCAGAATTTAAACTCGTAAGAAAGAGTAACGTTTTATCCCAAGTCGAATGTCGTGAGGCCACTTTTGGGCGAAGAAAGGTAGAAACGGTTTACTTTCACCAAATACCCGAGCAATTCACTATAAACAATGCGTTGATTTTTTACGTAACACATCGGAGACACCTTTCAATAGATCCGCAGGGCTTGGCTTTGGGATTGGAGTAAATCTCTGATTAAATGGGGAAAAAGGAAAGGTCGCGACGCCACTTTGAATGTAAGTGAGAGAAACATTCAAATGATTCAACAATAATCCGTTGATTGGCTCCAAAAAAGAAGAATTTCTGCCTTAAACGGCTTGAAAACTGAGTAGCTTATAAAGACCTTAATAGAAGGACGAAGCTGGTCATTTATAATACCGATTTACCTATTACGACACACTTGGGCTCAAGCTGGAAGAGAAAATATCTATTTACACAGAAATTAATTTAGAAAACTTATTTTGATTTTTCAATGTTCAATGTGAGTTTCAATGGCAAACCTGCTATTGGTCTAAAAAGCTACATGAAAAGAGTATGTTAATAAATTGTTACACAATGCTAAATGAACACAAATGTTTCCCAAGAGTTTTCGGTTCAAATTTGTTTACTTTAATTTAAATTTCATCGTTTAAAAGAAAGGTAATTAAAAGAATTAGGAATTTTGATGAAATTTAATAAGTGTATGTTTCTTTGGTCTACTTCAGATTTTAGCATTGCTGACCATTAACGACTGGACCGTAATTGAATGAACATGAGGCAACACAGTGATCTTAATTTAGCAAGATTTGTGCACATTCTTTCATTTTAAGTTTTTTTGTTGGTGGTTGCTTTGCGAAAATTATTAAAGCATTCCATTGAATATCGTGGCAAGTTATCAAATGGATTTGGCCTGCGGACCAATATGAGATCTACGAAATTATTTGATTCTTATGTATGATTGGAGTTGTGTAATTATTTTATTTAATTTTGTGGAGGTTTCCCCTCAATAAAATTTATCACATTGGCAAGGGATTTTGTAAATTTCGTTTCTGATATTTCAAATTTTTTAATAGGTTTTTATTTTAAAATGTTACTTCTAATTTTCTCTTCATTCAGTTTTGAAGGGAGTTTTAATGTTAAATCTGTTCATATCTGAAAGCCCGGGAGTAAATGGAATGAAAAGGTTTATAATGGACTCATCTTGATTTTCTTATAATTTTGAAATTGGAATTTCCTTAAAACATTTGTCAATAAAGAAATGTGAATAATTATTTAAATTTAGAACTTTTAAAATTTGTTTTTTTTTTAGAAAATTAGATTTATTACAAATTATTTTTGTTCTATCATATAAACTTCACAATTCCGTTTTTACGGTTATCGGGTGATTTGAGTTAAAATTCAAATACCTTTTTGGACGAATCGCTTTTCTATACACTAAAGTTTCGAAATTATCTATTTTTTTCTTAATTAGTACATCGAGAATTTGGTTGTTTTGTTGATTTTCAATAGTGAATTTAATTGTTGGTTTTTAACTGTTCAGATATGAACAATGAAATATGCCACAGATATGAACAATGATTTATTAATTTTGCCTCAAAATTTTCCATAAATCCATGGCGATTACAAAATTTTGTTTATAAAAATTTTCGTAATGTTAAAAATAAATAAATATTTCACTGAAAGATCAATAATAGTGGTAATAAGAGCAGTAATTCAAACATCAAATTTTATGCGTTCTTTAAGATTGACTTTTTCTAATTTTTCTTTGATTATAGTTAAAGTTTTATCAACATTAGCGGAACAACTGGTCGCAAAAGAAAATGTATTTTATGAATGTTCGGAAACTCATAAAAATGTGGTCTTGTACTACTGTATGGTGTTAATTCATCATAATATGTGAATTCGTGTCAACATTTTTGAGACTCATAAATATGTCTTTCAAAACGTTCTGTTGAAATTTTTTAAAATCTTGAATAACTTGCTCTGTTTAAAAGTTCATTAATTATTTGATCATAAGGATAAAAATCAATCCAATAGTTGCATAACCTTTACCAGCAGGAAGAATTGTAATGTTTTATCTGTTTGTGAAGATTTTAATGCTTTTTGTTCCATTGATCTTATGTTTAGTTAGTTTCATTTTGAAAGGTTTTTCTAAAGTATTTTTGATCTCGTTCGGAATACTTTCAGTTGTCCTTGTCTAGTAAATTTTGAGTTGCTTCTTCTATACTAGAAATGAAGTCAAGCTTTGGAACCTTTGAATAGGTATAGTTTCCGCATCGGTTAATTGCTTAATTGATGAATGTTTTGTCCAAAAAATTAAAAAGCTTCCTTTGAGCTTGAGCCTGAGTGTGTCTTATGATATTCTCTAGTTGATGCGAGGCTAGAATTTTTGAGGCGAAATTCCCAAGAAAAAACATTTTTAAAATCGATCAGACATGTTTTTTTCGCAAAATGATCTAAAATCGTCCGAAGCCTTAAACGCCTTAAGAATCAAGCTGGCTGACTTTTTCTGAAAAACCCAGTTTTCAAGAAATTCCTGGAAGTTTCCGGGATATTTTCAGTTACTAACGCGAGTCGACTGACCGTTAGTAAGCACGAGTTTTTCAAAAGTGCGACAAGGAAAAACCCAAAACTCCTAAAAAATTCCCATAACATCACTCGAAAGAAAAAATTGGCTGCTTATTAGTGACGAAAAACTCTCTTTAAAAGGAAATTTCTGGGAGTTTTCAGGATATTTTCAGTTACTAAATGGAAGCGATTATTCGTTGGACAACACGGATTTTTTCAAAATTCGCCAAGGAAAAACTAAAAATTCCTGAATGCGCTCTATAACATCACGGGAAAGAGAAAAGCAGCTGCTTGAAACGAGAAAAACTCTACTTGATTAGGAAATTTCTGGGAGTTTTCAAGATTTTTCAGTTGCTCAGAGTAAGAAATTGGCCGTTGGTATAGAAAGACAGATTTTTAAAAAAATGTCTAGGAAAAACCAAAAATTTCTCAAGCATTCCCAGAATATCACTCGAAAGGGAAAATCTGCGGCTTTAAATAAGGAAAATCTCATTTTGACACGAAACTGGTGGGAGCTTTCAGCATTTTTTCAGATCCTAGATCGAAGCCATTGGTCGTTGGACGATACGGATTTTTCAAAAAATCGCCAAGGAAAAACGAAAAATTTCTGAATGCGCCCCATAACATAACTGGAAAGAAAAAAGCAGCTGTTTTAAGTGAGGGAAAACCTCACTTGATTAGGAATTTTTTAAAGACACCGACTTTTTTTTAATTTGCTAAGGTAGAACTAAAAATCTCTCAATTCGGCCCATAATATAACTGCAAAGTGAAAATCCGCTGCTTTAAGTGAGGAAAACCACACTTTAATAGGAAATGTCTGAGACTTTCCAGGATTTTTTCAGTTACGAAGAACTGGATTAATCTCATGTGACCATCTTTTCCATTTGTCTTTTTCACTTTTTTAATTTCCGGTGTCTGCAATAATCAGAAAATTTGTGGAAAATACTTCTAACTTCCGAAGCCAAGCTTTAATCCACAACTGAGCGCACTAAACAAGCGCATTCTATATGCACACTCGCTCAGACTCGCTAGCATCGCTTGGTCACTTTCAGCGTCGCATCGCCCAGCTCGGTGGCCGGTGTGCACGTACCCTCACTATGGTAAAGCATTTTTATTTCAATCAACCGAAAGTGAGACTCAATACTATTTAAAATCAGCTGAGAACAATCCAATCCTGCTGATGTCATTAGAAAATGTGGTAAAGTTTAAAACAGTTGTTTTGCAGTTCAGAGAAATCGGTCTTCCTCAGTGGTTTTTGATACAAGACATTAAAGCTAATTAAAATGGACCTGCAATTTCGAGCGATTAGCCGCTAAGCTAGGCGTGAAATTGCATAGAGCTATAAATAACTCACGTCTTAATGATCTGAAGCTTGCCTCCAATTGCCTGTAATTAGTGACTGTTTCCTCCGGAATGGTTGTGAAAATTCAGGACATTTACACCGCGAACTGTGTAAAAGAATGTTGTTCTAAAGAAGATGTGCTAGAAAAAAACTAAGCCAGCTCTGCATGTTGAGCCGATAAAACGAGACTTGCAAAGGCAGAGTCGGACCGGGAACCAATGTGGAATGTGAGGAAAATAATACACAATCAATCACTTGAGCATGTCTAATATCGCATAGTAGCTGCCCGAAACAAGAGCAAACAGGGCCAAGAATATAATAAATAAATTCTTGAGCAGCTTCCAGTGACACCTTCCCCAGCCTTCTTCGACGTTGGCGATGATGTCCAGCACGGCAGGCACCAAAAAACCGAGCGAAGAGAAGAAAATCGCCCCGACCAGGTCGATCAATGAGCCCAAGTCTTCGCCGCCAGCAATGGCAATTGCTAAAACGCCCCAATATGTCATCATTATTAATAGGGGTTGAAACTCGATTTATGATTCTTCCAGTAGATTTACAAACAAACCTCGAACGTTCACATCGATTGCTGAACAGGGCATTTTTGCCATCATTGAAATTTATGGTAAACGCACGTTTGCCCGCGTTGGATTTATGCGAATAAAAATAAATATTTGTTTTATTTTAAATTAAAAAATGCACATACATACATACATACATTGAGTCTGTCTAGGTGACGTCCAAATGGCATTTTTTGGTTCATAGGCCCATCAGTTAGAAGTCCAACTGACGTTGTAAGTCACAGCTTTATGACGTCTAAATGACGAGTCATACAGACGTGTAAAAATAGTCATAAAGACGCCTAAATTAAAAATGCAAAAGCGTAAATTAGACCTTAAGGTGGATCTTTATACAGGGTGTCCCACCGGGAACCGTCGCGATCGATATCTGACAAACTATAATTAGGAGAAATTTGAAAATTGGACAATGTGCCAAAGTCATTGGGGGCAAGCGGTATGAAATAATTTCAAAATGGCCACACTTCCGGTTGAACCGGAAGTAGGTATCAACTTGCTTATTTTAAATGAAACACCCTATACAGGGTTGCTCATTAGTGCGTCAAAGTGCGATATCTCAGTAAATATGAACTTTACAAGAAAATACGTCCTACGAAAGTTTTTCATGTTT